TCAGAATCAATGTATAAAAAGAATATAACTCCCAATCTAGTTATTCATTTACAAAAACACCCCTTAATCATCATAAATAACAATGCTCAATCAATGCAAGGCTAAAGAGGAAGGGTTTAAACACATTATAGTATTTCTAAATTTGCATTAAATTTGCATAATTTCTCAAGAAAATAAGATAGTTTGTAGTATAAAGTACAAATTCATATTTTCTACTAACAAATTAAAACTACTACAGTACTACAATATCAACTCATTTTACAGTAAGTTACACAGTCCACTTCCCCAATATAACTAATAAATATGAAAAACTTCAATAAAGTATTTTGCTATATAAATTTCTTTGTTACTGAAATTATTATTACTATGAGAAAAAAATATTAATGACTTATTTACTTGTGAGTTTGTCAATATATGCAGTTTATTTTTCAAATTAAATTCTATGATTTACGATAGTTTGCCTCTTCAAATTTTTTATTACTAAATTACTATAATCTTATTTTACCTTCCTTGATTAATTCTAATTCTAAAAGTTATCTGTGATTGGGAATGATAAGGTCTCCCCATTTTTTTCAGATATTAATATGTATATCTTTATAACATGGTAGAGTAATATTAACAAAATACTGTAGATGAAATAAAATTTAAGAATTTCAATTTATCAACTACTATACATAGTTATTATTGTCTATTCCTGAATAATATTTCAAAGTATTCAATAGAATGTTTTGAGAATACGCCTACAGATGATTATAGTATTCCGAGAAAAATAAATTAAATGGATGCCACAACATATGGAACATTATGGATTAAATGTTACACTAGATTTTACAGCGACTTTTTGATTGGGCGTGGCAAATTGATTAACTATTATTGAAAGACTTAGAGTGGCGAATAAATCAACTACGGTATTGCAAACATTCATCTTCCTGACATTAAATTAAATTATGAGACAAAGACAAAAAGAAAGGTTGAGTGGAAATTAAGAACAGGGTAAAGTACATAATGTTGTTTCCTTTGTTTGGTTCACAAAATTTAATATGTGGCGCACGTCTCTAAGGCAGTTGTCGATATCCTTCAACATTATGACCAAACAACTCTTATCGCCAGATATACACATTTAAACATGAATGTTTGTTTTGTTTCCGCACTTGATTCAAAGACAGGCATGGAACAATAATGGGAAACAAACAGTCTTGTATCGATGCACTATCCATCATTTTTGACGGGTGGTCAATATCAATTCCATTTCATAATGGGCGACCATTTTCATTCACGATTTTTAAGATTATAGCTTGCCCATTTTTTCCAATGTGTAATGGTAATTACTATATCCCCTACGAATTTAAAAAACCAAACATATTTTTTTTGCGGTGCTTTGTTTAATGGAGAACCATTTTTTTCCAATGTTATGACCAGCAATAATCTCCCACTATTTCTCTTAATATTAGCAGCCATTTCAGCCCATTAGTTTTCTCCAACTATTTTCCTTATTTATCTGTTGGCAGCCTTTTTCACCCACTACTTGTATAATTATGAACTGGCATTATTCACCCATTATACATAAAATTTGCATTTTTTTCCCCCAATTAAAAATAAATCCACTCCTTTGATGACTCATAAACGACTTCTATCGATAAATATTCATTTTATACAAAGACATCTAAGGGAGTTTTCAGGCATGATTTTCATAGGCGAAAATCATGTTCGTGTTTCATTGTAGCCTGGGGTATGGATTCTAACTGTTTATCAGCTAAGATATAGAAGTTGCATAATTCCATTAATCTAAGCCTGGGTTTGTCTACCTTGCTGATACAGCACAAACATACAGTACCCAACATACTCAAATGGAATGAAGCAGGCAAAGAAAGGAATAATATGGAGCAGTAAATCAATCATATAACAACAATACAGATGTGATGAACGAGCCTAATGAGTGTTCTACAATTAGTCAGTTATTTTATTGATTACAGCTAATTGAATGCAATTTTTTCTGATTACTGAAAATGCCAAATGAACTCAGAATTACCTTGGAAGTATAGTATCCAGATTACAATATCATTCCTTTATTAATTTCTTTAGGTATTAAAAGAAATGATTTTTATAGTTAATGAATTACAGAATTGAACCCAAGGCCTTATGGTTGAAAGCATCTAAACCACTAAGCTATATACTGTACTGTTAACTCTACTCAAAATTATACAGTAATTAATGTTTATTCATGGCAGAATAATAAATATTCTCTAAATATGCAAATAATGGTCTCAACCAATCCTCACTTCTAAAGCACAACAGCATAAATAGAAATTTATGAAGCATCAGTCTGCTGCCCTCTGTGTTTAGAATACCTGTTATAAACAATTATGCTTTAGGCTCTTACAGTGATATGTTTATGGGCATATAATGTTTTTTTTTAATGTGTTCAGATTTTACTTAAAAGCTTTATATAATCAATTATACAAAAGTTAGATGTTTTCACTCTATAACAATCCATTAAATTTAAGTAATAAAATTTATAAATTATGTTATCCATGGTAGAGTAACTTTTATTTGATGATTGAATGGTTTACAAAATCAATTTGACCCTGACTGCATTCGCAATATTACTATCAGACATCACTATTCTCATCATTTCAATTGAGCATATTAATCACAGTTAAGTGGAGTTATTGCAGTTGTACTGGTTAAAAAAAAGCAGCACAAGACATGGCCAAATCATGTGACAAATACATCACATGACCACTTTGAACTCCACGGTGGCAAATATGGCATAATTAGGATGTTGTAGGTGTTCAGGAAAACTGGCAAAAACTAAGCAACAGTTTAATACATGAAGTATGCAGCATTCTAGACTTCCTATTCCGTCTTGATTACACTTAATGCAGCGTTGGCGTTGAAAGCCTTAAGCAATTACATACATTCATATCTCACTCAGTATGTTAATAATATGATAATGAATATCTCTCTACTGCACTATCTGTTTTGCATTCTCCTCCACAGAAATAGTTTAAATGTTACTATTATTATTGATATATCTTCCATGCTTTAATATAATACTATACTGGATGAAAATTTATAATTTTGACTAATAGTTGATAATTATGAAATTTATTATTATTTATTATGTATTTTTTAAATGTTTATTAAAATTAAAGAAACTGTTCAATAAACGTAATGTATTTCTCAATATTTTAATAAAATTCAATGTATGTCTATTAAATCATGATTTAAAAATGTAGGGTTAATTTCTTCACTTTACTACTGTTACTACGCGTTCCAACATGGATTACTAATTAAATATGCATCCTACTGGGCATCAAGGTAATTTTAATCAGAACATATAAGCCATCAACTAGCTACCATGCTTGTTATTACCTGTCTGACAACCATTGATTCTATTCAAAAATTGCAAATCATTTCTTGCTTAGTATTAAACATAGTTATTTCCTTATTTGAATATTTGTCAGTCCGAATTCATTATGCAATTAGTATATGAACATAATTACATATGGTAGTTATCAGGAAATCTCTACTTTCAATTAGAGAATACCAGCTGAGCAAACAAGAATAACAAAAAGAAAGGTAATTTACTACATTTGTACAATACTACTCCATAATATTCCACCAATATCTATCTGTAAAAAAAATCAATTAAGGCTAAAAAAAAAAAAATATATAGGCTTATGTCTCTGATTTCAAGCTGTGTATACCATAAGAACTGGTATAGCCAGGAAACCAGCATTAAATAAAGAACTATACAGTGAAGATGGTATAATGAAGACTTGGTAAGGCTTTACATTGTTTATTGCCCACCAATAATGATGATTTTTTTTATTTTCTCCTCCATCTGTACGTTTTTGCAAAACTATTAGCTAAATAAGAAAAAAGTGGTAATGAAGCCGTGTTAGTCTAAACAATATATAAAGAAAATTAAAAGGCAGCACTCTGAGACTAGCTTAGATGTTATTTATTTAACACAAGCTTTCGCTGGCAGTCAATGCCAGCTTCATCGTGAAGCTGGCATTGACTGCCAGCTAAAGCTTGTGTTAAATAAATAACATCTAAGTTAGTTTCTGAGTGCTGCCTTTTAATTTTCTAAATAAGAAAACTATTGTTTTTCTACACTCCTGTGACGATCTTTAAAAAAATAAGTTCGCGAAACAAGGTATAAAAAAAGTCTCGTCTAAGATAGTTTAGACACACTCTATGTCATACAAAATGTAATTAAAATCACTGACAACATAACCAGGCCTGATAGCACATGCACTCTACAGTAATTGTTATAGTCATAATGACTACTTGTGGAAGATAAGCCATGTCGTGGCATTTCCTCAATTTCCACAATGTTGAACACTTAGTCTTAGCTGTATATCGGTAACTCCACTGAACACTTGCATTAACCTTATTTGTCTTATCAACACTGTCTACATAAAAGTTCAGTTTGAGAAGGGATTTCTTTTAATGGGAGATAATTGTCCGACACATGAGCAATTATAAATACACTGATCATAACTCACTGTTCAAGAACTCTCAAAATGCTGGAATCTCAACTAGTATAGTGCACAATGTCAGCCTGTTTTCATTCATTTACACATTTTTTAAGAGCACATGTATCAACATCAATGTTACAGTAGCTATTCCAGGCCTCTTCCCAACGACTGGTGGAGAAACAATACATGAAGCTCCTCGCCTACAATGATAGTGAAGTACTGTAAAGTAACAATGTGACAACACTATAGTTTAAACATTTTAACATGGATCCTTTCTGCAGGACCAGTATCTCTTCCCAAGTATATTCCATCTTCAAGAAGCGAAGAACTGATTCACCTATATGCAATTTCCTCTTCCTATCTTTACTTAACTCTTCAGACTTAGAAGGCTCGGTAAGTTTCTTCCAGGAATAACAAAGCACAAGAACAATACCAGTCTTTTCCTACATTCTGTAGGGAAACATGGCATTAATACATTTAAAGGAATGAATAGATTTATGTCTGCCTTACCTTTCTTAGAATTATCTTCTCCTTCAGCAGGTGTTTCCTTAATTGGCAGATCAGTAGGTTTGGCCTGAGAGTCACTGTCACCAGTTGTTTCCTCTGGTTTATGTTCTTCTACAGATGGTGCTAACAATTGATCACCGTGATGTCTAGCAGGATCCGTGCCACTAGTCTCAGAATCGATAAGTCCTCCTTCTGAATCTGTAGCTCCTGCCTCTGAGTCTGTGACAATAGGCTCTGAATCGGTTATTCCAGCTTCTGAGTCAGTGGCGCCTTGATCAGAGTCTGACACTCCTATGTCTGTCCTTGGAGTATCTGATGAGTTCTGTAAGGGGGCTAAGAAATCTCCACTTTCATTTACAGAAGGATGTTCAGCTGTGTCCTGGGTCTCTTTCTCGTGTATGGGATTGGATGTGTTATCTAGGCTTGGTGCTTCGGCCTCATTATGATTAAAAGCACCTGAAAGAAAACAAAATTGTAATTATTATTGACTCATTATGAATATTATATAAAAGATGAAAGCATGTTTCACTTTGAAAGAGAGCAAGATTTTGTACAAGATTAAGTTGCTTTGTGTGGAGTGCATTCAATTTATTTTTATTTTCTTGAGATAAACATTAACTTATTCCATTTATTTATTGGACTAATAGACAATTTAAATAGTAATAGCTGCAAATTGATGTCAGAAGCAGCTGACATCAATTTGCAACATAACTTGTTGCGAGTCAACTCCTCCTAAAAGAACAAAAAAACATATAAAGTTCATTGGAATTACAGAATTTGTAGATAAGAAAGTGACTATCTCAGGATGCCAGTATCTTTACTGAAACAGGAAGGAAAGGAGTGATAACATCTGACAGACTACAACTTTTGGCTGGTTTTATAAAACAAAATGGCTGTTCTTTGTAAACATATGAATACAAATTCATAATACAAATGGAACTAATGCTAGCATTTAATAATTTTAATTATGATTATAAATCTTCATTTACAAGAACTTTAATCTAATCAACCAGTTTTTTGTAATGCTTGTTAATTTAGGGATTTGTTACCAAACTGACATTAAATAAGATTATGCAAGTATAAACCATGATATTCTAAACTCCTACTTTACACATGTACAATAAAAAAAAATTGAGGTAAAAATGATCCAATCATTGACTGTTTGACCCAAAATCATAGCAAATTCGTTGAAATTACATTTAAGTATTTAAATATTCAGGAAAAATATTATATTTTTAACCTACTGGTACCAGTAATAAAAAAAATACACTAGCTTTAACATTTAACTGATAACTACAACCAATACTATGTACACTTTAAAAATCTGAAGAAAACAAATTATGTATAAAATATAATGAACACTGGACAATGACATAATCACTTTAAAAACAGGATTTAAATTGCTAATAACAATGATTAATATGATAATTATTCATCTACTATAATACTTCTATTATAGATCCTCTGCATGGACTAAGTTTAGTTCTCCAATGCTGGCCAAAACTAATCAATTAGTGCAGCACATGTATTTATTATAATCTGCATAATTCACTATTACCGAAGGCCAGTAATAACTAGAGATCATAATCTCCTATTGTTATTAGTATCAGCATGTTGTCTATAACCAATACGGCATGACACATAGTCCCATTTTGTTATAATTGGGTCTCATAGACCATTTTTATGATAATTATTTCAGCCTTCATGTTCATACAATAAATTATATTTGTCTGCTGCTGTTATAAAATATTTCAACATATTACAACGTACCATACTTTATCTGTCAACAACAATATAGATATATTTTATTTTATCTTTAGTTATTTTCAGGCTGAAATCACCTCATGCCTCTTGTACTATAGGTTACACAAGAGGGCGACACAACATCCAAAGTACACCACATAAGAATTGAATAACATATCATCCCAATCAAAACAACGTCCAGGTCAATACCCCATTATTCAGTACATTGCAATATCAGTCATGATGAGAATCCATGAGAGATAGTACAAACCCAGTCATAATGAGAATCCATGAGAGATTGCACCACCTCATTCACATGTCAAATGACATTAATGGAAAATAATACATCCCCCTAACCCTTTGGTGATGGATGGACGAGGACAGAGGCCTGACAGATTTCCTGGAAGTGGTCTTTACATGAATATGTTAAAGGGAGGTGAAGGTGATTTATAATAAATATATTCATCTTCATTATAAAAGACAATCCTTTATTTTATTTATTTTATTCTTGTCCAACAATGATTCGCTACTTTGGGATGGGGTGGTAAAAAGTTGGTGAGAAGTTCAATAGGAAGCTTTGGGAAGGTAGTTGTTTTTAGTCTATGAAATAAATTCTTGTGCTTTCAGGATTTGAACCATAGACCTAGAGATTAGAAGGCAAACATCTTAAATACCAAACCACAATCCCACACAATATTTCAACTGGCAGTTTGTCAAGAAGCCTTAAAAAAAAATGAAATCATAATCCTTTTGATTTACCTAAATGCATAATTTAAAATATTTATTGATTGATATGCAAATTAGCAGTGACCTTTCTCAGGCCTCTCAGATGAATAACAGAATAATTTATTAGGACAGAAAATTTTTCAATGAACAACTAATCAAAATACTGTGAAAATTAGATCTTCTTGAAACATCGTAGACACAAACAGACAAAAAACGCGGCACAAAAGCCTAGAATATTTCGCATTTACTTGTAATCAGGCATAATAATTGTAGCACGAATCCAGCTTTGTTTGAGTGCACACAAAGAAAAGCTCAAAAATCAGGTAATCAACCAGTAAAACTTTCAATACCTCGCGAATTAAAATATTGTTAAGTCCATAAGGCGTTAGTGTTGATCATGAAAGCCTAATTTGTTTGTTTACTATAGTAGTGATCACCGAACATCAGAAAATCACAAAAGAAAGAAAAACGAAACTCATGTCAGTCCATTTTTGGAACATTCATCTAAGAATCCATGGGTGGAAGATCATCAACAATGACCCCATGTTATCTAACCTTTAACTATGATATCTCAGGGTGGTGACCACAGTCTGATGGGCAACCTAATTATATACAGTATATCACGCCTCATAACCTACATTCTATATAATATTTTTCTGCTACATAAAACTCATCGTTAGTATTGGTGTAATATTTGTTCAAGGACATTAATACAACTAAATATAAATAAAACAATTAAAACTATAAAATAAAGTTAAATAACTTATTATGTCTAACTTTTTCAGGGATGAAAATTCTGAAGATAGATTAACCTTTACATTCCCATTGGTTGCTATTGCACTTAATTCACATTTTTAACGTAGCTCAACATATCAGCCCCTTTAGCATACTAATTATAATATCCTAAGTATAAAATGTACAGTTAGCATAGAACAAGACTGAGAAATCATTGGTGACATGATCGATAGAAAGTGTACAGTGTAGTAGCTTCAAATATTGTACTGATGTCATAGCGTAGAATCTAGTGGTCAAATCCTCATCAGTCAATATCTCATTCCAACATTGACACTACACTTGCACCATGAGCATCCTCATGGATGAATACAACAATGCAAAAAAATATATTATCAAGCACACCAAATAATGTAGCGCAAAAGATGTATGAATGAATATACTTCTACCTACCTGCCCACACATAATCATAGGCTTTCTTTAACATGTTCGCTTTTTTGTGATATCCTAGCTTGGGAAAACAACAACACACACACACTGAGAAATATCTGAACGATGAATGACTCCTCGGGTCTCAACTGGTCAATACCAATCTACCACACTCATCAAGGTTATAAGCGCTCAACAGTGTGTGAATATCAATAACTGTGACAGCCCAAAAAATGTATGAATTAATATTCGACTTGGCAACAGATTTGTACGAGGAAAAGTCAAGAATTGGACCATTCCATTTATTTTATCAACAAAACATGAATTTAGATGGAGGATAGAATGTTGGTTAGTGAGGCCTGATTGAGGAGGATGTGGTGCAGAATACATTGAACCAGGCCAGACTCTCTGCATGTATTACTTCAGTGCACAGGAAATGCTGGCTGAGGGCTTGCAGGTTTCTTGTTTCCTGTTATGCCTTTGAGGGAGAACTGAATGAAGAAAGCTGGATTGCGCTTGCTCAACCAGGCAACAAATCAACTCATCACAACGCTTGCTAGCAACGACATTTGAGTTTAATCTAGATAGCAATTTGACAATTATTTGCCAACTAATTAGATGGAAGTCAAAATCAGTACAACCGGTAATTAATGAAACAATACATTATCTGGACATTAGATCCAATTTACTTGTGGTTTTTTTCTGAATAAAATCTAAAATACTAATAAGTAAACAACACAAATATAATATTATTTATATAGGAACATGGAACAAGGAATGTAAAGTGGTAATCCCCTTTATAACACATACTGTATGTGTATGATGCATTATAAACTAATTCTCATTAGGCGAGATTTTTTTTATACCTTGTTTAGTGAACCCGCCGAACGCAAATATTGATGATTTCAAATAAAAATAAATTTTATTTTTGGCCAATTAGCGCACCTGCTGCCACAAAAAATGGAATTTTCAGAAAAAATTAAAGTTTTTAAAAATGTTTATTAGCTCTCCGCTGCCTTGGAATCTCCAAAGATAAAAATATGTATATTTCTTCCTAATTATATAAATTTGAAGCATTTAACCATCCCATTTCACATTCACCAATAAAATTTTATTTTTATTTTCTACTCCATCTGTATATTTTTGGCAAAACTATTTGCTAAATTTGTTTTTATTTTTATTCTGCCCTCCTCCGATGATCTTTAAAAAAATAAGTACACGAAACAAGGAATAAAAAAAAGTCTCGCCTTATGTACAACGTAGCAGTATTTACCAGGATAACCACCAAGTGTCACAGAATTTTAGACAAAATATAGTGTTCCCATATTTGTTGTATAAAGCTATAGCTAAACTATAAAACTCAACAAAATTGTTCTGTCATAATCAGGCACATGGCATTATCCTGATTGAACAGTTCAAAATTTGTTTAAAAACATTTTTTGGCTACATTTTATCTTGATCATTTATGTTATATTTGTACAGAATAAAAGATTTATTTTATAGAATTAGGCGCGTAAACAAGGAAATGCCTTACTAGTCCTACAGTAAGCTAGCGGACTAAAATATTACTAAGTCAAGGATCACTGCCAATGTGATGCTTCACGGGTGAGGTACCGAGTGTCACGGTAGAGTAAGGCTTCTGGAATGAACAATGAACTCTAAAACATCCATAATATGGATCTACTGTATATTCTTAATGATATTATTTATCCTTTTTCATATCTTTCTATTTAATGTTGGTGAAATACCAAGTAGCACAATAGAGTGATAAAAAGAGCATAGTAGACTTACTGTAAACATATAACACTTTAAAATTGTGAATACAATTAGTGAACTGAATGTACAGTGTAGCCCATACTGTAACATGGCTACATTGGTGACGTAAAAACTGACCTATTACATATTATGCTGAAAGCAATAATGTGTACATCACCATTAGCTATGTACTATACCACAGAACCTACAAGAACATGGCTACATTTCAATAGTGATGTTGAATATAGATGTTTCATGAATGTTTCTCAATTAGCTTCCAACCCAGGACCCTTCAATTACCGCCTGGTGGCTCTACAACTTAGATTTAATTGGAAAGCAACTAAAATAAAGCCCTGTCCAAACTATTAAATGCGATCTGACAAAAACATGTGACATGCCTTAATATGGTCATGATTAACATAAAAGGACCATACTGTATACAGGTAAATCATGACTATATGGGTATATACCAGTTTTTTGTCAAATAAAATTTCATAATCTGGACAGACCTTAACAAATATTGAATTTTATTTTTAAAGTCTTAAATATTACATGTATCTTTGAATAAAAGAAATTCAAAAATAAGGAAGTTACATAGAGTATCAACATTGTATAATAAGGTGTTAAGACTGTCAGTTATCTAAGATATCCAGTCAATACTAAATCAATAATTAGAAGACTTGCATAATTAATATTAAGTTCATCTGACAAAGGAATTTCTTAATTGTGAAATTAGTGGTTCTGTAAGTGTCCATTTTCTTGACAAAAAAAAAACTCTTCAATTATTAATATTATTTTATTATTAAATTATTTATATTCATATCATTTATTATGCCAGTATAAACCAGATTTCTGTAATAAGTGACAAATATAGTAAGTAAATAAATCAATTTCAATATAAACCAACTTCATACAGGTAGGCTAAATTTGTTTACTTATACTATAATCAGACAAATTAGTTATTTTCCATAGTCATTGCTCAATTAGCTAATACTAAATTGTTTAAAAGCTTTGACTCTTTACACCAGCTGCTGATCTGAGCATTCCCCCAATATCACAAATCCCTCCCCTCTTAGGAAGTGAAATAGGACTTCTGTTTTACTGCTATAGGATATAATCTCCATCAAATTGGGTCTATATATATATTTTCTTTTCCCCAATCCATAAAATTTTGTTAACCTTTGATCCTATTTCTGACAGACAGGTGGATTTCCAGTTTGGATTGTCATTCTGTAATATGGCCATATGGTCTGTTAGTTATTGCTTCCACAATAAATACTGAATATATTCATTGGCCATCTCTACAGAGGATGGTCTTGGATTATTAGGAACTCACAAAAAAATCATGTAATTCAAGTATCCAAACTGAATACCTGTCACAATAATAACAAATGTACATACCTTTAAAAAATTCCTAGTGATACTATTGTTGATGGTTGATAATTAATGAATTTTTGCACTTCTATAAAATGTTAAACTTCAATAATTCCTACTGTATTAATAATACAGAGTGTGGAGTGTTGATTACAGCTGTAATTCCAGATATAAACAACTCATATATTAAAATCCTTTTATATAAGTACCTGTTTTGGATTAGGTCAAAGATTGCTCTATTGACGATTAATAAGAGAACAGAAGGAACTCAACATATTGGCTTAAACAATACAGAACACAATAGAAAGAATTAAAGCATTTGCTCTGCCAGTTAAAAGAGGACAAGGTTGGTTACATGTCTAATATACTGTATGTTTAATATTGATGAGTGGGTTTTGTAAGCTTGCCAAACAAGCCATGAAGGTTACTAAAACACAATAAGAAGGTATCAATATAGCTGGTAAAGTCAACTGTAGCATTCTTGAACCATGTCTAAAGTGAATGGCTGACAAATAACTGTAGGCATCAATTTAAAAGCAACTCAGAAAATTCACGAAAAGTAACAATGGCTGACACAAAATATGGCTTTAAGATAATCACTATGGAATAAAAATCCAATAATTTTAATTATAACACCTTGGTATCTTATTTCAGAGATAGCTAATTCTACAACCCAGCCCTTACGTATTATAGGGCTACAATGATTATGGGATGTATCACAATTAGCTGGTTTTTGAATTCTTATGGTTTTTACAATGCCAATGGAGTAGTGTAGCCTTGACAATGGTCACCTACTGTAGCCATGATCCAACACAGAAACAAGGATCCTAGCCCTATGCAAATATTTATCTATTGCAAATACTTCAAACGGATTTTAATTAATATTCAGTTAAGGTGCTGAGAATACAAAGTATTTAAAACATTACATCAAACAAAAATCTATTTTAAATAATAGTTAAATAAAATCAGTGACCCTGACCAGAGCATTTCCTTGGGTGTAGAACACAGAATAATATTAAATGCTTCATTTGGTCATTGACATCATTATTGTTACTGACATAGTAGAAAATTGATTTGAAAACTGACAAATTTATTACTACAAAAATCTAAAGTCTAATACAGTAGTAAAAAGTAGTTAAAAAATTGTGCTCCATTTAAAACCATTGGGAAAAATAATTTCTGGATTTTTTTTTTTAACAAATGATATTTTTAAGAAGTAAATGGCAAGGATAGGCAGTGGATAACTGTCCAAAAAACAAATGTGCTTTAAATACTCATTCTACAGTAATATTCTTTTCAGCTTTTAATGCTATGGAATCCGTGTGAAAATCAACTCAGCTTTTACTAAGGTTTTAGCAATGCTAAATAGGAATCTCTTAGCCTAACACATATTGGTATGAATATGTTAACTTGTAAATGTACTATACTATAATATTTCAAATGTTGATATTATGAGAATTGGAATAGCATCAAATATTTTTGATATAATAATATTGTGCTTCCTATTACAGGTCTCACTCTAATTAAAGACCCCTCCAATTGAAGACCACATCTAACTAAAGATCACATTTTTGTGGTCCCAAGTTAGAAAACATTTTTTATCTTTTTTATTCCAATTAAAGACCATACTGAAACACTGGTCCCAAAAGTGGTCATTAATTGAAGGGAGACATAGTTAAAGAACATTTCCCAAACTCAGAGAAGATATAGCCTCAAACTACTGTACACAAAACCACTTAAAAAAATATAGATTTCTAATCAAAATATATAACAGTATTATACTACTATACCTTTTGAATTATTCCCAGTTGGTAAAAACGATGTGGTTACGTGTACTGGTATGATGAAATAGTATTCAACGTGTCTCTTACTCACTAAGCTTAATACAGAACAAGCAGAGTACACTAGTAACGGATCATCCTAATGCTGGCCACAACAAAGCCAAATCCCACACATAGCTGCCATCAAAGAAAGGCTTCTTCATACCAAGATTATCATCCAGCCAACCAAATTTTGTGTATTCACACAGAAGATAAACAACAAT